AATAATTTCTAGAGTGATGATGATGAAATGTTTCCTTCTTGTTTTTTAGCCAAACTTTCAGAAACAAGCTCAATCGGATCGAAAGGAGCAGTCTTTTTCACTCATCTATGCCAATGGAGAACACACTCTTGATCTCGTAAGCTTGGGTTTTTAACAGGACCAGTTTTCAACTAAAATCAGGACTTTTTTATAACTGTGTTTTTTTTTTTTTGTTGGTGATGTAGATATGCAAGGATAAAGCACAAGCAGACTCTTGGTTTAGAGGCCTTAGAGCGGTGATAACGAAGCACCACAACATTAGAACCTCTGCGAATCTCCGGACCAGCAGGGGAGCTCAAAGTTGCATCAATAGTCCTGCAGGTTTTATCCGCAGGAAACAGAATCTCGGACTTCTTGAAGAGACCCCGGACTTCACTCAGGTAACTTAATCTCTTTCATGATTTGGTTTTCTTTAATACACTGTTTTGATTTTTTTATGTATATTGTTATGTTCTTGAAGATACGCAGTGTATGTGGAAGTCCATCTACTTTAATTGAGGAGCAGAGTTTATCGAACGGGTTGTCATGTTCTTCAGACAGTTTCTATTCGGTTGAGTCAAAGACTTATGCTGCATCTGATGCCTTTAGTCCAGTTACTTCTTACTTTGAAGCAGATTATAATCTCAGGAACTCGGACTGTGACCGCACAAGTTCAGAACTTTGCAAGCATTCCTCTCAGAGATTTCTTGCTTCTCCTCCTCCTACCATAACTCAACCGATTACAAGATCAAATGTCCTCAAGGACATAATGATATGGGGAGCTATAACGGGTCTAATAGACGGATCAAAGAATCGGAATGATGCGTTATCTCCGAAGCTTTTAGAATCCGCCACGATGTTTGATGTACAAAGTATATCTTTAGGTGCGAAACACGCTGCACTGGTCACAAGACAAGGTGAAGTGTTTTGTTGGGGCAATGGAAACAGCGGTAAGCTCGGGCTTAAAGTTAACATTGACATTGAGCATCCGAAACGTGTTGAATCGCTGGAGGATGTAGTGGTTCGATCAGCTGCTTGTAGTGATCATCAAACGTGTGCTGTTACGGAATCCGGAGAGCTGTACTTATGGGGAATCGATGGTGGAACCATTGAAGAATCAGGAAGACAATTCTTAACTCGAAAAATATCGGATGTTTTTGGCGAATCTCTGAGTGTTTACAGTGTAGCTTGTGGCGCATGGCACACAGCGATTGTGACTAGTTCTGGTCAGCTTTTCACTTATGGTAGCGGGACCTTTGGGGTTCTTGGACACGGGACCCTCGAGAGTGTTTCAAAACCCAAAGAAGTGGAGTCCTTGAGGCGAATGAAGGTAATATCCGTCTCTTGTGGCCCGTGGCACACAGCTGCGGTAGTGGAAACCGCGATCGACCGGAAATATTACAACGCTAAGAGTTCCGGAAAGCTGTTTACTTGGGGAGATGGCGATAAAGGACGGTTGGGACATGCAGATAGCAAGACAAAGCTGGTGCCAACTTGTGTTTCCGAGCTCGTTGATCATGATTTCATAAAAGTCTCTTGTGGATGGACTTTAACTGTTGCACTCAGCATTTCGGGAACGGTTTATACAATGGGAAGCTCGATCCACGGGCAGTTGGGATGTCCGAGGGCGAAGGATAAGTCAATCAATGTTGTTTTAGGAAATCTAACACGGCAATTTGTTAAGGATATTGCTTCAGGTTCACACCATGTAGCCGTGCTAACTTCGTTTGGAAATGTTTATACTTGGGGAAAAGGCGCGAACGGACAACTCGGATTAGGCGACGTTAGAGATAGAAATACGCCGGTTCTTGTTGAGCCTTTAAGTGATAGGTTGGTAGAAAGTATAGCTTGCGGCTTGAATTTGACAGCTGCTATCTGTTTGCACAAAGAGATCTCTTTGACGGATCAAACCGCTTGCAGTTCTTGCAAGTCAGCTTTTGGTTTCACACGGAAAAGGCATAACTGTTACAATTGTGGTCTCTTGTTCTGCAGCGCATGTAGTAGCAAGAAAGCGGTAAATGCTTCATTGGCACCAAATAAAAGCAAGCTTTCTCGGGTTTGCGATTCTTGCTTCGATCATCTATGGAGAATGACAGATTTTTCAAGGAATGTTAAGGTGGAAAACAACACTCTAAAGATGCAGCTAGTTACACGGAGGGTATCTGATGAATGGACAGAGAGCGAATCAGAGAATCAGATGCAGAATCTTCCACAAGCAAATCAATCTTCGGACAGACAACCTCGATGGGGACAAGTCTCTGTTCCTTCTCTGTTTCATTTCGATAACATGTCACTCTCGTTGACAAGTTCTCCTATGAATCTATCAGTCTCGTCTAGACGACCATCTTCTACAAAGCATTCAACCTCTTCTGACTCGAATAAGAACTTAATTGAAGAAATTGAAAGGCTAAAAGCCGAGGTAAATTACTTTTCTTTTGTACGGATAACAATAGCAACTTATTATACACTAAATATTCCATCTTTATGATATTGTAGATAAGAAATCTCCAGAAGCAGTGTGAACTTGGTAATGAGAAGATGGAAGAATGCCAAAGAGAGCTCGATAAGACATGGGAAGTTGCTAAAGAAGAAACCGAGAAGTCTAAAGCTGCTAAAGAGATAATTAAAGCTTTGGCAGCAAGGGTAACTGTACAATTAACAAACACACTTCTTTTTGTCATCTTTCTCTTCTATTAGTATAGTATGTGACCTGCTTTCCCTGTATATTTTCTTGCAGCTTCAAACGAATAAGGAGAAACCGAGTAATCCTAAGAATGGCATAGCGTGTAATCCTTCTCAAGTCTCGCCAATCTTTGATGATGCATTGTCCATTCCATATCTCACACCAATCACTACAACTTGTTCACAATCGGAAAACAAACAAGTAGTCGAAAAATGTGTAACAAAATCCTTGAGCCGTGACAGCAACATTAGGCTATTAGTAGATGCATCCCCCGCCATCACAAGAACAGGACATCTCCAGAGTGGAACACAAGAATCCACAACAGAACAAGTGGAGCAATACGAGCCTGGTGTATATATAACTTTCACGGCCTTGCCTTGTGGTCAGAAGACGCTTAAACGCGTACGGTTTAGGTATAAATATTAAGTGTGCTTGATTCAGTTATAACAAGTCTGAAGTATGATCAAGTGTTAATGTGCTTGTTTGTTATTTTGGTTGTAGTCGAAAGAGGTTTTCAGAGAAGGAAGCACAAAAATGGTGGGAGGAGAAGCAGGTTTTGGTGTATAACAAGTATGATGCTGAAGCATGAACTCACTCTGAATTAGTTCTTCAATGTATTAGTTCATTTTATTGTCTGTTAGTGATTACATGTAATCCAGAAATTATATCTATCTTCAAATTTAGCAGAATTTGAAATTTTGGTTTGCTTTTTCGGTTTATTTAGTTTGAGATATTACTACTTACAATCTTAAAGATGAGATGGAAAATTTTCTGAGTTAAACTTGATTTTTAGGAATGAAACAAACGTCAGTGGTTATGGTATATTGAAGGCAGGGCCGTATGTAAACATGTGCAAGGCGTGTGATTTGCAGATAGAGCTTGATAAATGAAATTTAGTGTATTTAAGGACCCAACTAAATTTAGAAACAATATTTACATGTAATATGGTCCATATTTCAAATATTTGATATGGACCATTATTTTTGTTCTATCTTGGAGCCAGCAATGGACAGTGTCGGCTTTGAGGGCAAGCAACACAAGCACGTTGTTCCGGCCTTCGATTTAATAACTAATATTTCGATCGATATTTTCAGAAATATGCATCTAGCGTCATGTATGGTAAATGAGAGGTGTTGAGTAAATGACATTTTTCTTTTTTCTTTTATTTAATAATTAGTATGTTCATTTTTTATTTGGATTCCTGCATATTATAAACGGTGCCCCCCATATTATAAGGGTCGGCACTGGCTATACTGGCCATGGATGAAAGATATATCATATAAGTATTCCAAATTGGTTAACTGAAAGTGAGATTGGTCCATTTTACCATTGGAACACGAGTTAGAAAGCAAATTTAGGTAATATTTCGAAGAGACACTAGTGAGCTATCTTATTGACTTGGAGGATATTGGCCACACTACTACTCATTTGGAGAGATGTGTGTAGGTTGGGATTAGTGAATGAACTAATATAAAGTGGCAACTACCGTAAACAAGGTAAAAAAGATGGATTGATGAGCAGGAAAAGCATTGTTTAAGTTTAGAAATTTAAGAACCTTGGCATCAAAAGCAAGATGAGTTTGGCACGTGACAAACTGGCCCCACATTTGTATACAAGGACTTTGACAGTGTAACATGTGCCAAAGTTGGTCCGACATAAGATTTTGGTGGGACCAGATAACCA